TAGGGTCTGTAAATAAAAATGTATCCTTCAGACGAACACAAAAATCTAAATACCTATAGTCACCTTAAATAAATTAGGGAATTTTGAGGTTATCTAACAAATGGAGACGTGCCCCCATTAGCGGATATTTGATAAAATGTTTGGGGGTTAACCAGTTTATTATTTAGATCTAACAAAATACAGGAACGTGGTACTTAGGGAAGTAATTAAATATTTGGAAGGTTTTTTATACTTATGTATTTATATACATTAATCTTACGGTCAGTTTTTGTTCAATTCTGTTTCTTCGCTTTTCGCATAGTAATAGCCAATAAGTTCAACTTTTCCTTTGTTTCCTTTCTCCTGACGGATCTTTGATTAGAAGTTTCTACCAACATTCTGAAAAAAGTATATTCTAAATTATGTCCACCCCTAGCATTTATAGCTACTAAAAATATTTTTCCATCTGAAACCCTCTTGGAAGTTCATTCTGAAAACTCCCAATTTCATCCTAAATTACTTCATCGATAATACCTTTCTATACCATTTCCAATATATCATCTGCAATCATATAATACACTTTATTATATTACTGAATTATTCTACAAGTACTTAAACTCTGTAATTTAATATGTAAAATAAAGTTAAAAGCTATTCGATCAGACCACAGCTCTTTTATACTTTAACTAGCACTTGGATCACATAAAAATGATAGAACAGTTTTCCATTTACGTTTTAATCATTTTTTACACATTCATTACGATTTATAATGTACCCTTCACACAACCTATATCAAACATTTATAAATTATATCACAGTGAATATCAATATTATTTAATAATTATTTAATTCAAAATAGTAATATTTGATAAAAACGCCAAATAATTTTTAATATTAACGTAACTCATGTATATTTTAGTGCGATATAAATAAAAAAATTAAAATAGCTAACGTTTGCTTTCATTTTAGAGCACATTATATTGAATTAAATACCTACAGATAAATCTTTATAATAGTATTTATACTTATATAGAATTTTTAAGTAGTTTGCTGTACATCAATTAACACAGTCGTTTCAGAATTAAATAACGATGGCATTGTCTACAATGTTATATGGTATTTTTTTTTCAACTATAGTACTATTACAGTTTTATCTTTTCAATACGTTATTTACTGCTTAATCGATATTACATTATTATACGCTTATATTGCAATTGTTTTAGTATTTGTTTCGAATGATTCGTAGCGAATTTATATAGATCAATTTATCGTTTCCACTTTACATTTGTATCTCAATGGATACCAGAAAAATTTTTATGGGCAATAAAAGTGTTACTACAGTAACTACTAACAAACCTTAATTACATTAGCGATTGAAATTAATTATTAAATGATGCGTCGAACATACATAGAAATGTTTAAAATGACGATTAATACATTATACTGATTGTATTTCTTTTTATATTTTTTCAGTATAAATGTAGTAAACAATCAATGAAAGTGTTTTCCTTTATCATTCCCTCGTAATATAATGCACCTATAACAGTGAAAGAAAAAATATCTTTTTATTTTTGAAAATTACTTTCTTATTATATAAGAATTATTATATATATTATATAATATTCTTATTATATATTTTCAAACACTATTTTTTTTAGTAATTTTCTTTATGCGCTAACCTTTCTACCATGCGGTTATTATATTGGTCCACACTACATAGTTTAAATTACCTACCCACATTGTTATAAGAAAGAACAATGCAGAATGTGTAATTACTCGTACATTTGGCGTATTTGTCTTTAATCTTTTATTCTCAGTTTGCGTAGATCATTGTTCGCAAAATGTTCTACTCATATTAAATAATGTAATGTAATAGTTGATGAGAATTCTGAAAAATATACTATGAAATGTTTTTTGCACAATATTGATACCTATATTGCATACTCATACAAACCGATACCGTTTTATATTATCACACATTAATATTCATACGATAATGTTTACACATGTAAAATCTATATGACCGAGCAAACTTAATATATCGTTTTCAAAATATATCAACAAAAAATGATTATAATCACGAAAATCTATTCATGTTCAGGCGTTATAAATATTTGTTAATTACAGTTAAAGATAAAGATTAATATCGTACTATATATATATTATAAGAGTGCATAATTTTTACTATCAACAGTATAATACAAGTATAATTAATCCATAATAATCATAATGAATTTGTACAATAAAGACATTAAATACGCCGAAACATAAATTAGAACGAAACGGTAATTTATCATTTTCACGAGTATAATGTTTTGTAATGGCGTATGGTTATCATAGCTAAGGTAATTATAAATTGAAATAATATTTCATTCAAGTACTTTAGCAATTTTATTTAATTATTTCGTTCAATAAATGTTATTAATTGCGTTTTCCTTATTTAATCATACTCGATTAAATACAAAACAAACAAAAAACGATTAATAATATAAATAATATATTTTGTTTCAATTATAATATACACAAAATTTATACGGACAAACAATATATAACAATCCTTTTGTACACACGCATTATTTATTTTTATTTTATCATAAACAATAATGACAGTATAACTAAATCTATCTAAAAGTTTCGAAAAGTAACAACTCGTCGACCCTTCTAAAGAATTTGTAATAGATTTATCGATCGTATTTTTTCAATCCGAAGTAAACCGCCGAATAAACTTTAAACTTATAACGTTAAATTTTCCATTTGTTAACTACAACATAATTTCGTGTTGATTTAAAATAATTACGTCTAATTATATTTTTTCAACTTTTTTGGCTTATGCCTAACTTTACAATGCGTTTTCTGGGCATGTTGAATGTTTAAAATGGTTTTTCAATTTTCATATACGCATCAGTAAAATTATTATAGTTTTAATTTTACTTTCAACATTAAGTATTTTATCATAAACAATTATTTATTATACAAATTGTTCCTGAATAAATTTCATCCGTATTCATACAATACGTATATTATATTATTAAATAATTTTACCAATATGTTATTATCTAAAAAAAATTAAATAATTAAAAATGTTAAATAATCAAATTATATATACAGTAGAGTCGCGATAACTCGAAGTTGAAGGGGGATAAAAATTCACTTCGAGATATGTATTATTCGAGATATCTAACTAATTTATAGGGGAAGAATTTTCTATAGGATAAAACACAATTCGAGTTGTTAAGTTTTTCGAGTTATCACGACTCGACTGTATTTATATATAGCTCTGTATTATTTAATTGTGTATATATATATATATATATATATATATATATATATATATATATATGCATACAGACCGGAGTATTTAAACAACTTCTGTGAGAGGTCTTTCTTTTAACCGTATTGTACACGTGATCTGTTATCACTGACCTCTGAACCATATGATCAATATCCGTTCAGCGCACGAGTAATCGTTGTACAGGCTTATATCAAATATAATTCAGTCATTTCTGGTTCTTTTTTATCTGAAATTCAAGTACTCAGTCAACGGTAATAATCGAAAAAGGTATAATCGTGCAAGTCGATCGTGTATACCACTCATAAACTATGCAAAGGTTCACAGCTAAATTCACAATTTAATTACTTATTATATTACTGAGTTAAGAGGATGATACAGTACATTAAATACAGTTAATCAGTACATTAAAAATTAATTTTCAATGATTTATAGCGATTTCGAAAAATACATGCATATACGTTTTAATGTGACACGTACGCATAAGCAGATATCCATTGAAAATGTTGGGGGGGGGCTATAATTTTTTAATTAAATTTAAAAAGTGGGGCTTCGCCCCCACACCACCTTTAGCCTATAATACCTAACCATTTTGAGAATCCTGTTACCCACATTAACCGATGCCTATATTAGGCAGAATTCATTGTATTTTAATTGCATCTTATAAATATTTATATTCAATTGAAAACAAAAATAAAGGAACTTATTCAGTTGCACTTAGTCTTGAAAATTATGTAAATTTTCTTCCATGTAAAAAGAATTATACCTATTTAAGTTATTATATTTTATAGTTTTGTAAATTCATCATCATATCAATTTCTCTTAATCTTAAATTTGTTAAATACGTTATTAATTATGCATTTTATTGTGTATGCGATGATATAAATAAGAAACCAAAAAATATAAATATACAATAATATAATATTATATATTACAAGAAAAAAAAAAAATTATGTAAACACAATGTAAAATTTTATTAAAGTAATGAAATAAATATAGAAAAAATTTTTAAGAAATTAAATATTTATATAATATTTTAAGTCTTCAATATCGTTGTTTGTGTATTTCATGTTCGGTGAGTTGGCGTTAAATTCGTCATCATGGTATATTTTATCGAATCTATAAAATATTAAAACAGATAAATTTTATTTTATTATATAAATTCAAAAATATTAATATTTACCCTAAAAATTCCATTGTATTTGAGAAGTGGTTTGCTTTCAAAAGAAGCTTTTGATCTGATTTGAATGTTTTCGAACAATGTTGCACGAATGCTCGATAAAACAAAATTAGTTTGATCGTTTTTTTAATAGACATGGTATAATAGGATAGATAACTGTAGATCAGTTATTACATCCGTTATCACCTTCCACATAAATTTTTCAGGAAACTCCTCTCAGCGTTGAATCTAAAAATAATGTATTTTAATTAGTTATTTTACAACCGGATCACATAAGCTATAATATTATTTAATGATAAAGAACACATACATGCAATTGGCTAAGTAAATATATTATATTGATCTAATTGTGATTAGTTCAAGTCACTGTAGAGTATAGGCTGTGAACAAAAAAATTATATAAAATAAAAATATTGTATAATGAGCCAAATTTTGCGTCGATTCTATGTCCTTATCTATACAATTTATCATTGATTAGAATTTATAAATAGTATTTACTATCAGATATCAATTGTATTATATTCTTTCGATTTTTTTTTGAGGAATCGTCTATCAGTTGAGACTATTGTTCTTCACGAATTCTTCGACGTTTTTGAGATAATCGTCGTATGCAAAAAGATTATTACCTCTTATCCAATGCACACGACGATTAACTGATACACCTATGGAAATCAAAAATAATGTTATAATTGGTATCAAGATCTTCCGTAAACACAATGTTATCTATATACATCGTACATTTTTTACAACTTACCGTCGGAAAACACGAGCACTTTCTTCTGTGTTCTCTCTACGTTTCTGTTATTTGTATTAATCTAAAACACATTATTAACATACAAAATAAACTTACAAGTGTGAATTGGATAATGGACGGATGATTATAGTTATGCCTAATTATTGTAAACGTTTAATGATATCAAAAAATACGTACTCCGGGACCAAGAAAAGCCAAAATAGAATTCGGCTCCCTGTCGATACATATCTTCTCCGTATTAATATAATATTTAATATTTTCTAATTGGTACAGCTGTAAAAAAAAAAAAAAAAAACATACGGATATTGATGCTCTCATAACAGGATATATGGACTTACATCTGCCACTTCTTGGTCCTTCATTAACTTTAATAAAACTTTTGGCGCCACCCTACTTGCCAAATCGGTTAACTTCTGCATTTTATCTTTCGTCATGTTGGCTGGTGGTGACGTGACGATGCCGTCTGCCTTCTGCAGCGAGTGTGCATTTTCAAAGAAGTCACCCACTAGGAAAATGATTCGGTCCTCGACCCCATAGATACAAGCGTTGTTTCGGGCGAACGCGATTTTGACCGGGTCACTGTCCATCGCAATGACTGTACAAAGAACGAGAACCGTTACGCGTCCAATGTTAGTATACATGACGATATAATACAATACTAAAGGCCTCGTCAAACAGAGCGCGTTATTAACGTCGCGTTTTTAATGCTATCGCAGATGTTATCCTCGTGACACAGAAACCAAGAAGCGTCGTATTTTAGAATGGTTCTTAATACCTAGTCGATATTGTTCGTTATATTATATTTTATCGTATTGTTCGTACGTTTTCGAGGTGTGGTTTGTATTGAAAATACGTACGCTAGTTCAGACGAAGAAAAACTTTTACTTTTATGCGCATTAACCGAAAGTCAACAAAAGAGGAAGCGAATTATTTTTTTATTAACATTTATTTATACTCGTATAAGTAAGTATTCGTAAGTATTCCTTCTTTCACCATTATCTGAACGCCAAAAATAACGCACTACCATGCGTGATTTTGTGATTTTGTACGTCATGTTCTAGTACTGCGTTAATTACGCCTACAACATTATTATTTCACATCCAATATGACTTGGAATTGAATACTACGCGAAGGTAATAACGTTAATAACGTTTTCAGTTTGTCAGAGCCATACCATGTTAAATAATATGACAATAATTGTATTTTTATGATGTGAGCAATATACCTTTGCGACAAACCATGGCCAGTTGGATCGCGATCGCACCGGAACCGCAAAACGGGTCTATGACAGTACCCAGTGACTTACACCGGGAAGCCATAAGTTTTGCCAAAACTTCTGGAGGCCCGGAGTAAAGAGTCACTGTAAACATCGTAAAATTATGAAAACACAAACGGAGTCGATACTATAACTAAAGACGTTCGTCTGTCTAACATACCTGGGTCTGCTATGATACCGTCGTTAAATTTTGAAAATTGTGAAAACCGATTTTCCCACAATTTGTAGGTAACGTTCAATTCCTGGGAATAGTATGTCGTGATTAGTAAACATTGGAGAGTTCATGCATATAATTATGTATATATTAGATAACATCCTATTGATTAGTATCGTGTTATATGTATTTGTTCATTTGATGTTACACTATTAGCGACCGTTTTATCGTAATCGACTGTTGCAAACGGTCAGCGGCAAATTATTTTACTGCCCTCAAGTTCACAAGGTATTGAAATGATAACGTTTTTTTTTTTTTCAAATCCACTCAAATATTCATGTGTGCGATTGTGGGAAACAAACTTAGGTCCCGACAAATGAAAAGCGTAAATGTTAATGTTCTACAACTACACTGCGTACTAAAACGAGTCGTATCGCGTACGTGAAAAATATGCAGAATCCGGAAGGGGGCAAATGGCTCATTTGCGTTGAACATGACCGTAAATAATTATTGGTAATGTAGTTTTGCACTCACTTTTGCACGATTTTCTTCCATTTTAGGAAGAACGTACGGAACGATTTCGTCTTCGTCGTCTAAATGTATCGATGCGGAATGCGTCTCCTCATTAGATTCGTTGACGTGGGACGCGACTTCCCCGGCGGACGGGTAAGTTTGGGTGAACACGTCAACGAACGTAACGCAAGAGTTTCCGCACGCGAAGTCGTGGTTGGCCGCTGGAATGGTGACGGACACGGGGTTCGTTTGTGAACCGCAATCCTTAAAGGCTGCGGGACTGGGAGCCGATCGACCACCGACGTTATTATGAGACATTGGGTCGTCTCGCGGTTCTGTCGGTCCGGCACAGCAACCATGATGCGCAAAACCTTTACGGGCTAATACGGGAAAAGTACGAGCGAGATACGTTAAGAAACCTCGAACGGAGATCGAAAGTTGTCGTAGCGAAAATAGAACCTCAACCGTACTCACCTTGGTCTTTTGTCAGCCAGACCAGGAACTGTGGCCATCCACAGATGAAACAAAATGCCATCAAATGTAATCGCTCGTCGCTCCTGTCCAACTCTTGAGCAGGAGCACTACGGCGATTGGAACTGAAAAAATACATAAATATCATGCATCTCACGCGCGCCGACGCGTTATTGTTGAACCGCACGATGTGTTAAGATAATCTCGTATAGATTCGTTTACCTGATTATCAATCCCATTTTGTTGATATTAGTTGACGATGATGATATTAACGATGAGTTAACACTTGAGATACCTAGACGTAAAATTAGGACAAAAAATTGTTGTCACGCAAGGCAATGTCGAATGTTATTGAAACCATTTATTCAACAGTTATAACTAATTTGCAATATATTTGCCGGGTAACGTTTAAAGTAGGTTACGTAATTCATATCATAAGTGGCCAGTGCAGAAAAAATACGTAACTTGAAATCAGATTTATTAGTTTAATAATAATAAATAAAATGTTATTCTTTCGGACTGGATATACGAATCAAACTCCGTCATTTAATTCTTCCTAAAAATATTTTACCTCTTACAGATACCAAGTTTTTTTTACGTCCATTACCCTACCCCCCCCCCCCACATCGAGAAATGTGAGATTTTTTTCATGATTATAATTAGTACGTAATTTGTATGAAATTGTACGACTATTTTCAAAATTTTTACGGAGCTCGTTCACTGAAAAAAAATTCGTTTTTCGCGGGAGGGCCTGGAATAACGTTATTCCAGCCCCTCCCACCAGTATAAATACATGTTTTACAAAAATTTATTTTGCGAATAATTAGTACGTAATTTGTATGAATTTGTATGAACAACCATTTTACCACTTTTATTAATTAGCAAAGTGTTATATTAATAAAATTAAAAATATTTTCAGAAGAATTCTGTATGTTTAAAATCTTTTACATCATTATATTCATAATCGTATAATAATTATTTATATAAAGGCATATTGAAAACACACTATTTCTATTTTAAACTTATATTTGTTAGATAACAATGGCGTGGGATAAAAATAGTAATTATTTTTATTTTCTTAAGAAATATCCGATAATATGTATTTTACTCGTATTTATAATATACTTGTATATTACATATAATATTATATAAACTAAATAGATAAATCCTGTTCGTTAGCAATATTCACCTGAGTATTATTTGAAGAAATCTGACAAATGTCTTGTATATACTCTTCTTTTAATCCTATAGCTTTTTTATATTATGACGATCACTATACGCGAACAAATGTATTGCATTTTTGCTAACACGGCCAGTGTCCGCAATAACCGGGTGTGCTGCGTGTGTCAAACACACGGGCCTATGACCTTATAATAGGACCCAATGCTAATGTTTTAAAAATATGTAGAAAACAAGAAAATTCAAAATTTAAAATAGTTTGGTTACAAATACGGTACGGTTTCCCAGTAGAGCCCGGAAGTGGTTGAAGGCATTCATTTTACTTACACACGGGTAGTGGCGTAGAAAGACTCACTAGCGCCTCTGGCAAACTTAGAAAAAAAAACGCTTTTTAACCAATTAAAATTTGATGTTATAATTTTTCTTTATTAGTAATTATTACAGTGTTTAAACTTTTAAAATTTGCTTTTCTCCCTTTATGACTAGCGAATTCATCGATAATTTCTTCATATGAAGTTTTTTATTTAAATGCTCTTGTTATGTATGTATTGTATATATTAATATTTTCATAATTTCATCATTAAATTCAAATGTAGTCTGTACAAATAGGCAACATCTACGTATTTCAAAAAGTATAATAGAAAAATTTCGATTTAATTGTAGGATAAAAATACGACTTACGCACAATTTTGCGCCCCTTTGCAACTTTCGCCCCTGGTGTAGGCACAGTTCGCCATACCCTTGTTACGCCACTATACACGGGCCCAAGTAAGTGTAATTGCGGCACTGAATACGGCCATCCAGATATATACTAATATCATTTCAAATATCTTTTGATGCAACAACAATTTATAATACATCAAAGAAAACAAAGTATTGATAAATAGCTAAAAGCGTTTAATAGTATTTCACACGCCGAGGTGTATAATATATTCTTATATTTATATATATATTCCTACTATATTATAATACATATTATATACTCATAATATTAGCTCATATATTGCATATTACATATTTTATTATAAAAGGTCCCCATAACAACATACATAAGTTGCGACTCGGTATTTCTCAGGTACATACTTAAGTTACGGTGTTCTTGTCATGTATTCGTTAATTGCATAATTAATAATTAATATAATATGACGTATTACAATTTTTTTTTTATTATTATTGTTTCTTAATTTTAAATAAAAAAGTGTTAGTACAAACAGCAATATTTTTAATGGGGAGGAAAATATTGGTTGTAAATTATTAATATAAATTTTAATATAAGAATACCCAGGATGCAATTTCCATATGTACAAAAAATGTACGGGACACAATTTAGTATACCCAAAATTACTTACGTGACTCAATTTACATCAAAAAGGTACATTGGAACGTAACTTATAGTCACCAAGAAATATAACAAAAATCAGATTTTATCTCATAAAATATTAGTCGTAAATTTTTATAGTTAAAAATACATAAAAATTGATCTAATATTTAAGACATGAAAATTGGATAAAAAAATTTTCTTAAGATTTTCTTTGTCATAAAAAAAAAAATTATAACGGAAAGTTGTAAAAAGATTATATTAGCTTCAACATATGAAATGTTTTCTTCCAGCCATTTTTAATAATAAAGCTAATAAATTATTAAGATATTTAATAAAATTATATTTCTATTAAAAAATTATGTCTCAAAAAAGAAATCAAAATTAAATTTTTGTACAAATACTGCACTCTAATTCACAGTTCACATGATAAACACAACACCGAAGAGCTAAATGACTAAAATGAACTGTTATTAATTTATATCATATACGAGTATATTATAAATATGAGTAAAATACATACTATCGGATATTTTTAAATAAAATAAAAATAATTACTATTTATATCACATGCCATTGTTATCTAACTTATAGATGTTTAAAATAGAAATAGGTAGTATGTTTGCAGTATGCCTTAGTATAAATGAAATAATGATGTTGGAATTTTCAACTATTATTGAATCAATCATTTGTTCAAATAAAAATTGTCAGAAATGTCCATCGGTAATTGAACGTCCTAAAGCTACATTACATATGAAACTACCAACGGTCAAATCCAAGAATTGCATCAATTTATTAATAAACGTCTTTCCGTGGAGAAACTTGCATGTTTGCACAATAAAAACGATTCATCAAACTGCACTGGATTTCAGAATATTGAATCGAACATTTCGCCAGTACTTATTTTCATTGAAATTCTGTTTTGGAAAGGTTTGATTATCTTTTTAATAACTTAAGTACTTATCGTAGGTCAACATTTTGAATATATTTAATATTTTTTCAGGTGAAAACGTTGAACACAGCAATGATGCAGGATATGCATTAGATTTAAAACTATGTGATAATCCAAAAGGCATATCTCTTAATGAAAAGTCGTATGAACTTCGCGGAGTAACACATTTTCACAGTAATATATGTTTATATATAAATTAATATATTAATATATATATTATTATATTTATATATATATAAATTAATATAAATTAAAATAAATAAATAAAAATAATTAATAAATGTAATATATATATATTCACAGTATAAATGGTTGTACAAATTCATACAAATTACGTACCAATTATAAGCATTAAAAAAAATCACACATTTCTGGATGGGGGGGCCATCCACGTCCATGGTAATGGACGTGTTTTTTTTGTTCAGGTCAGTATGCACCACATGCATTTTAATTAAATTAACCTTTTCTAGAAAACGATTAAGATTAAATAGAGTAATGTAGTATTATTCAGATATCTGTTTCGGTAGAAAATCATTCCACTAAAATAATATTTTTGTTTGTACTGTTACAAACATGATTTTAAAAATGCGAGCTGTCCATATACAAGATTCGTTTTTATTTTCATGGGATATTTGTGTAATGCAATGTAAGTGTGAAAGTAAAGTGATTAACTCAAAATGAAAAAAAGAGGATAATTCAATTGTGTTAATTTTGGTATTATTCTCCGTAGTAATTTTTGACTAACCATAATGACTGGATCAGTGGCGCTGAACCCATACAAAAGGTGTGGTGACGGCCACACCTTATTTTGGAGGGGGGGTAATTGGAAAACATATTTTAATATTTTAATATTTAAGTTTTTGATAGGAAATAAATCTAAGAGCATTAGTATTTTACGTAATAGTATCTTAATTTTATATAACTTTAAATAATTAAGTTTAAAAGTCTCTGACTCGGTGACCTGCCTTATCTAAATCATTAAGAGAATCGTCGTTAATCAAGTAGGTAATATGGTTATATTAATTTGCATAATTTACTCATCGATATAAATTTTCAAATCAAAAAGTCGAACTTTGAACAATGAGTTCAATTAACAAACCTACAGCACTATCTCCCAATCATCAACAGCCTTCCAAAAATAACATGTAAGTTTCTTCAATAAAAATAATTACAATCAACGTTAGCCCAAATAATTAGCAAACAGTACCGATGAATTCACCTAATTTACTTAAACCAAAAATTAAAAAAAACAAATTTTCTTCCAAGTCAGAATCGTTTTTCGTCCTCGTCGAAAACGAAAAAATCAACGTAAATGAAGTTGAAATGCAATCCCAAGAAAACACCAACGTCCCAACGAAAATACCGTTTATATATATATATATATATATATATATATATATTTATAAAAGATAATTCCGACTCTTGAATTTTGTAAAAAAATCAAACCTCTAACTAAACTCGAAGCTAAAAGTTCTTCATCTGGTTTAAAATTGATGACGTATTCAATAAAGGCATACAGATAAACTATAACGATACTAGAAACAAATAATATGAACTTTCATACCTCTCAATCAAAAAAGGTTTCCGAGTTGTGATTCGCCACCTCCTTCATACTACACCAACCTATATGAAAGAACAAATTCATACTCTTGATTTCACCACTCGTTCAATTACAAATTGTTTCCAATACAAAATCAAAAATCCACTTCTCCTATTTTGTGTGGGCCTAGAGTCATCACCATCAAATCAAACCATTTACAAAGCCGATTCAATATGCTATACCAATATTAAAGTCGAAGTGCCACGTTCGAAAAAAAACCCAGTTCAATGTTTAAGATGTCAAAACTACGGTTATATCAGAACTTACTATCATCATATGCCTAAATGTGTAAAATGTGGTAATACACACCTGTCAAACGAATGTTAAAAAGACGTTAATTTCCCAGCAACGTGCGCTATTCGCAATGGGGCCCACCTAGCATCATACATAAGGTGTCCCAAATTTAAAAATATTCAAAAATATCGACTACTCACGAAAACCGACAGGTCAACACGTGTGTGAAGTTAACCCCCCCACTATAAAAAAAACTTTCCAAAATAGTTGTAACCTTATTTTCTTAATTTGTAACTATTTATAACCAAGTTTTTAGAATTTGTAACCTCATATTTTTCAAGCTACGGGTACTTTCTCAATGAGGGGCTAACTTCACGCAGCCCCCCAATTCAACGAAATCGTCCAAAACAAATTGTAACTATAACTATAAGTGTTCAGAATCCAAATATGTAAAACCACATCTATTATTTTATATAAAAATATCAGATTAAGTATATTAGATTTGTAAGCGTTTTAAAATTTAATTAATTTTTTTTCCCGAAATTAACTTTTTAATTTATTTTTGTAAGGCTCTAACAGGTGTATATTTATATTAAAAAATAATTTTAATTAATAATTCTAATATTACAAAGAATTATTTACATTAATCTACTTAATAGTTTATTTTATACTATTGAATTTTAATGAATGTGAAGTGGCTTCTTATAATAAGTTACGAGTGGTAACAATTTATTTTATACGTTTATAATTTGAGTATGTTGTAATATATTTTTAATTTAAGATTTTAGCCTAATCAAATAAAAATAAAAGTGAAATTCTAGTTAATTAAGACATATATTCATTCTAGATTTTGTTTTTCTTAAATATAGATTTATTTTCTTCAACTTACGATCTATTCTAGACGAATTGATTGAACTGGGTGATATGATAAATTAAAAACTTAATTTTTTTATTCAGTTATCTTCTTTGGGAAAGCCATCGGTACTTAAAATTGATGAGGTTACAAATTCTAAAAATTTGGTTACAAATAGTAACCAACTGAGTTTTGTAATTCACAACTTGTTTTGGACGATTCCGTTGAATTGAAGGGGCCAGCCCCTCATTGAGAAATTTACAATTACTCGAAAGGGCCGAGGTTACAAATTCCAAAAAGTTGGTTACAAATAATTACAAATTGTGTTTTATAAGTTACAACTTATTTTGGACGATTCGGTTGAATTGGGGGGGGGGCAGCCCTTCATTGAGAAATTTACAATTACTCGGAAGGGCCGAGGTTACAAATTCTAAAAAGATGGTTACAAATAGTTACAAATTGAGTTTTATAAGTTACAATTTGTTTGGACGATTTCATTGAACTGGGGGGGGGGCCAGCCCCCCATAGGGAAATCGGTAACTACACGAAATTTAAGAGGTTACAAATTTCAAAAAGTTGGTTACAAATAGTTACAAATTGGGTTTTATAAGTTACAATTTGTTTTGGACGATTTCGTTGAATTGGGGGGGGGGGCTGCGTGAAGTTAGCTCCTCATTGAGAAAGTACCCGTAGCTTGAAAAATATGAGGTTACAAATTCTAAAAACTTGGTTACAAATAGTTACAAATTAAGAAAATAAGGTTACAACTATTTTGGAAAGTTTTTTTTTATAGTGGGGGGGCTAACTTCACACACGTCAGGTAAACTGAAACTTATGACACTACCACAACTTCAATCAAAATCAACACCATCCATGACAACAATTTCCTCCCCCCCACTTTGTCAATTCCAATGGAACACCTCTCAGTCTAACTCCAAACCATTCCCAAACACAATTTCTTACGAAAAAAAACCATACTATCGCCGAACCGTGCAACAATTCAAACACCGACTCCATTTCAACTCAATTAACTAATTTCCTAGTCCAATTTCAAATTTTAACACTCTTATCTCACTACTCACTAAAGTCATTGACTCATTACCAATAAAATAACTCACACACACTTAAATAATTCACCCCTATTATTCCTCCTTTGGAACACAAATGGCCTAAAAACCATTACCACGATCTGCACCTTTGCCTAAAATCCAGAGATAGAGATATTGCACTTATCACTGGAACACATCTTACACCCAACAAAACCCTATTCTTTCCAAATAACTCCACTATCTGAACTGACCAACCCGATGGCAGTGCTCTCGGTTGGCTTAGCAATATTTATAAAATACGTATTAATATTAAACAGAATTATTTTGTTACACGTAGAACATTAATGTACAAATTTGATAATATTTGAAAACTATAATGTCGACATTTTTGCGTAGGTTAATTATGTATTTAAACCGTTTATAGTTAATAGGTAATTCTTATACATGAGTATATCTAACTATTTTCTAAATTCAATCAATAGATCATACCAAAGTCGTCTTGGTAGTTGTTACTAAAATATGGTTAAGTTTGTAACAAAATATTTTAAATTTGATTACTATATTTTCCAAACTGATTTACATAAATAACAACAGTAAATTTAAAGTTGTATTTAAAATAATAGAATTTGTTGTTTTACCGTTTTAGTGTGAATAAATCGCTGACATACTATAAATCATCTATATTGTCTATTACACCTGGAAAAAATTCTTTACATAGGAATTTAGATCATTGCTGTTTAAAATTTTGCGGATTTATTTCTACGGTATCAAGTGAATGTCGACATTTCGAACCATGGTTTAATGTTGAAACTATAATGCGGTACTACTTAAAGATATATGATGATAAGCAGAGTCTGATTTACCAAATATATGGCCCAGGACAAAATAAAAAATTGGGCCTATAAATTATAATGTAAATAAAGAATAAATATATACAAATATAACCAATCAATACAAAGTTCATATATTCAATCAATTAATATTAACAACACAATCACTACCATTGTTGCTACATATTTCCTGCCCGGAAATTTATTTTTATTTTCTTCTTTCAATAATAATTATGTTATAGAAGTCGACTTAAATTCAAAACACTTATTTTGGGGTAATAACACTACCGACACCCGAGTTCCCAATCTACATAATTGTATAACTTATTTTAACCTAAGTACTCTATCACCCTTACACCTTTCCTATTAGCCTTCCCATCCAAACCGTAACCCCAACATACTTGACTTTTTCATTGTTAAATTATCTCCAAACATACAACACTCAATAGTAAATATAAACAAACTTTGCTCTGATTACACAGCTGTGGTACTCTCTTTAAATGAAATTACCTCAATCAACGACAAACCAAACTTAGGAAAAAGTCTCATCTCTAGGGCAAAGTTCAAACATATCATAGATGACAAAATAATACTAAAAATG